TCTCTCTCTCTCTCTCTCTCTCTCTCTCTCTCTCTCTGTCTCTCTCTCTCTCTCTCTCTCTCTCTCTCTCTCTCTCTCTCTCTCTCTCTCTCTCTCTCTCTCTCTCTCTCTCTCTCTCTCTCTCTCTCTCTCTCTATATATATATATATTTATCTATATTTTTATATATATATATATATATATATATATATATATATATATATATATATATATATATATATATATATATATATATATATATATACACACACATATATATATATATAAGAAGAGAATGTTCAGAGCATGTATTATATAATTTCCATACCCAGCGCAAGCAGAAAGATGTTGTCTGTCCATAAGGCATGAAGCTATTATAATATTGATGTTTAATAACTCCGCTCTGATTATCTCCGTGAATTGTTTGAATCCCGGCAGCACAGGATACAATTTGAGAAACTCTGAAAACACTTTATTTGTGACTTTTTGTGTGTGTTGGTGTATTAACTTCAGTGAAAAACCGCGAACGAACTATGGTAAACTAAGTGGTAGTAGTAACGGGGCAGTGTTGCGGAATGAATTGCCTCAAAATGTACGAGCAACATGCTCTCTTACACAGCAAAAAATCATTTTTTTATTAAGAAAATTTTCTTGTTATTCTCCCAAAAAAATATTTTCTTATTTCAAGAAAATTTTCTTAAAACAAGTTTTTTTTTTCTTAAAATAAGAAAATGATTTTTTGCTGTGTAATCAATTCAAAAGAGAAATTGACAACATATTTTCCACATAAAACGGACTCCCGCATGGCAATCTTGTAAATCTGCCGCATGTACTAGTATAGTACCTTAATATTTGTAAAAGTCTAAGTGTAAACTGTCTTTGTACGTTTGTCCTTATAAGTGTAAGTGATTTGTCGGATAATTCTTATTTCAAAATGTTATTCTTGTACTATATATACTGTAGATTTTACCGTACTTAAATTCGTTTTTGATTGATTGATTTGACTAATCGCTAAACAAGTTATTATTTAAATCGATGTCAAAAAACGAAATTTCGACACACTAGCTCCTCAGTTGCCAGCTTCGTGTTAACCGCGCAGACAAAACAATAGAAAGGGATAGGAATTGAAACTGACGTCCATATCTCTTCAATTTCCGCCATCATTGCGTTACCGACTTTTTGGACTCAAGTTCTGGCTCCAGATATATATTGAGCTCACTGATCACAATACGTTTTGAAACTGGTCACAATACGTTTCACGTCCATCAGAGAAATAAAATCGCAGCAAAATCTGCAAATGAAGCGCGTCTTAAATTAAAGAACGAAGCAATTTCATTAAATTCGCATTATATTGCGTAATAAATATCGAAATATTGAAGAAAGTGTATCAGGTCGCGTATTCGATTTCCCTATACAGTTCATCTGTTAAAACAGTTATCATATCTAAATTACCGCCAAACATTTTTTCATCAAGAGAAACCATAATCGTTGTAACGTGTGTGCGATCGGAAAGACTTTTCGCTAGACTAAAGACGCGCAAAAACCCTACTACACCCACAAGAATCCTGACTTCTGATGAATGATGAATGATGAATGATGATTCAACTAATATATGTCTAAACTTGGCTGTCAACTTGAGAAAACACGTGCTAACATATGTAGTGTGATAATTGTCTTGTTTACAAGTTATACACATAGATGTTTTGGTGTAATAGTGCCAGCATCATTCATGCATGATGTCATGCATGGTTTGGCAGAATCTGCGTTTGTTATAGCTGAAAATTTAAGACAAGCCGCGCAGATGTTTAAAGGACCTATACACCGAAAATATTTAATTATTTATTGTATATATATCGACTCTACATAGGTTTTAAATAGAAATGGCGCCAAAAAGGCTTCTTTTTAAAAAACATTAAATATATGAAAACCAGTTTTCACCTGTTCTTCCCAGAAGAATTTTTGAAGTTTTTGCTATATAGACGCTCGTTTGCATGGTCGAGGAACGAGACAATTGGGCTGCTGTTTTCGCAGGCTAACACATTAATATGTTGTTGCTGGTCTGAATTGTCTCGTTACATGCCGTTCGGTGCGGGTTGTTCGAAAGGCGTTGTTAACTTAAACGGCGTTAATTTAGCCGCTATACGGCGTATAAATTCAATATCCATGCAGCGATATAGGTTAACCGACCAATAAAATTGCGTTGCACAAAACCCCTTTTCAGTACCGCGTTTAATTGTATATCTGGGGCTCGTTATTTAAGTACTGTTTAATAAACGAGCAGGAGTGTTTTATTAGGTTTAAAGCCACGAGCGCGCAGCGCGAGTGGCTTTAGACCTAATAAAACACGACCTGCGAGTTTTTTAAATGGCTTCAAAAACGTTTGCATAATAAGTCAAATCTTTATATAAAAATCTTTATATAAAAATCTTTACATAAAAATCTTTATATAAAAATCTTTATATAGTTTGCATAACAACGGTCTTTTGTTAAAGTGTTCTTTAGCTGGTATAAAGACATATGCATGATGTGACTAATTTCTTACTCAAGATTGGATAATTGCATGCTTCATGAATTATTAATGAGTTCTTGAAAGCACGATTAGTGCTATAACCATGCATGCATGGGTTAAATTTAATCCATTGCTTTGGTTTTTGTATAAAAAATGTAAGTCTGCAGTACGTTTATTTCAAATCTTTAGAAAATTAAACTTCTGATGATCCAGACAAGATTTCAGTCTTAATTAAAAAATATTGGCATGCAAATTTATGCACAAGCTGCTGGGAAGTATGCAGTTTGAATTTCACCTACTATTTTAATTCACATACGTTTTATTTTCACATATAGACAGTGCTGAGTTTCTCATTTATATTGATATTATTTCTTTAAAGATTTTTGGTTTCTTTATTCGAAAAGCCGACAGCAATAGCCAAATCTGTGAGTTATGTTGTCTTCTTTCAAATGATTCAGTTTTACAGTGTTTGAATATTTTTAAATAAAAATTGATTTAATTAAAATTGATTTGTCCTTTCACCTTGCACTTTAAGAAAACAAATTTAAGAACATAATATTTTATCCAAGTTTTGATTGGCTTATCAAAGCAATTAATTAGCGAGCGAACACTTGCATTTCGGCGTCTTGTTGTCTATTATAAGGAGACTTTTAGAAATCAACCGTACTGTTAAAATTTGAATGCCTTTTCAATTACACATATGCTGAACAGTGGTGCGTGAAATATTGATGGAGTGCATATATTAGAAAAAGGAGACCTTTAGAAATCAACCATTGTTATAATTTGAATCCTGGAACTAATTAGTCATTTGATTATTTTCGGGTCGTTATTGTTCCTTATGCTATTAAAAGTTATTTTCAAATTCCCAGCAGCATACAATCTTGTGTTTAAACGTTATTTCAATTTCTAAACGTATCATTTTTTCTAATATATGCACCCATCAATATTTCACGCACTACGGTTCAGCATATGCGCAATTGAAAAGGCATTCAAATTTTAACAATACGGTTGATTTCTAAAGGTCTCCTCTTTTATACACCCTAGCTGTACAGTATTTTGTATATGTATATATACTTGTTTGGCTTTCCAAAGTCATTGTTTTAAAAGCAGAAAGTGGGAGTTTTACTGTTGTTTTCAAGCTATACAATAGAAGAAAAGAAGGAGAAAAAGCAAGAATATACTTAATTAACGTCTAAACACTAACGCTGCATGGTCTGCGTAAATATAGAAAAGCGACGCTGACGGCATTATTTATTAGCGAGTGTGAACAAGTAGTGACCTGGTGTACTTCATGACCAAGCCAGTTAAAAGTGAGTTTTTCATGTTCATTCAATTTAAAAAGGTAACTCCACAACAGGATTCCCTCTTTCATCCGCAATACTCGTTGTTTCGTTTTCAAACTTCGATTTTATCGGCCGCGGATACGGATTTAAACATTCCCAAGACACTGTTTAACTTTATTCGCCAGTAGCCAAATTTTGACTCGCGGATAGCGGTAAGAGCCCTTAGAGGGCTTATCAAGTGTTCAAAATATTGAGTTAAACGGTGGTTAGCGACTTAAACGCCTTTCGAACAACCGGCCCAGGTAGGCTGGCTTTTTGTAATAAATGCATTTGGACTAAAACAAACTCATCAGTTAGAAATGTACGCTTTGTCATTCTATTACAACTACATTCAATATCCCAGCGGGCAAAATGACGTTTATCCAACGTTGAATCAACGTTGGAAATGACCTTCCAGACGTTGGATAGACGTTGAAAAAGGGTTGAGTATATGCAAATTGGATCGACGTTACTGTTTCGACGTTCAAACAACGTTGAAATTAGGTTGCCAATCTCGTCAACCATAAAACAACGTTGAGATTGGTTCACAAATAGACGTCGTACATTTAACCATGAATGAACGTTAATTCAACGTCTGTTGGCTGCTGTTGAACCAATGTTTGTAAAACAACGTCAGAGCCAGTGGCGTAACTACTATGGGCCCAGACCGGGAAACCCCGGGGGCCCCCAAGCGTGGGGGGCCCCTGCTAGAATGTAAAAGAGTAAAAGAAGCAAAATTTAAGAAAAACTTTACACAACAAAATAATAAAACAGATTGAAACTGTCGTAGCTTTGACAAATGAGGAAATTTTGATTCACGAAAACACTTAAAATTTTAAGTATTTAGTGGAAACACCGATCAACATTTCTTTAAAATGGAGCAACTAGGAAAGTTGAAACATACATATTTTCATGCATTTTCTTTAATAAAAACAATAAACAGGTAAGATTTTGAATATTTCGAAAACTTAATATATACATATGGCAAAGACAGGTATTTTATAAAGATTAAAGTACAGCGAAAGTGCAGTATTAAAAGTAGAATTGTTTTGTAGAATTGTAGAATTGAAAAGATCAATTTCAAAAACTTTTATTGTTTTGCTTCAGTCTTTACTTATAATCTTAAAAGATGGAAAAATCGAAGGAGCTTTCGGGGGCTCAAAAACGTAAACAGAGAAAGATTCTTTGGGAAAAACGAGAAAGTGAAAATTCAACGATTCGAAAAATAACCAGTTTGTTTGATCGTGTAAGTTCATCTGCAACTGCTAGCCGACTCCGGGGAACAGACGGATACAGGAGACAACGATATAGGTCTAGTTGTTTCTGAAACTGAGATTGAGTCCCAAGAATGTACTGAATGTTCCAGTGGTTCCATACGTCAGGGTTAGTGAACTTTTTTATTCATTATAATTATATTGCCTTTTAAATTGACATAGCAAAGTAATAAGTTAAAATTGCTTGAATTAAGACCTGAAATGTTTGTTAGATTTCATGGAAATATGTTTGTACTAATTTCCAGGAAATTTTAAAAGTGTGAAATTAAGTGCGACAGCAGAAAGTCCAGATGGTGATGATCACATTGGCCATACGATGAGCAAATCATTAGATGAATCTGAATTGAGTACTAATATACCAGTAGTTGGTATTGTGAAAATAATGATATCTTGTAGAATAGCACATAGGGTAGGCCTATGACTTAATCTGATCATACTGTACACATGCCAGCTATTCCTGAGTAGATCATATAATAATGTGTGTTTCTATGAGGCATTTTTGTATGTGTCAAATGTAAATAAATAGCTTCTCCTGTGTAATAAAATGTTACTTTCAGATCTCAGAAAATGCTCAGAACTGGAAGATTTTGATCCCTGTGTTACCTACCCATCAGATCGTGGACATTTCAGAGACAGGTTATCTGATGATTTGGTTGAAGTTCTGGTGAAGGTTGGCAGCTGCCAACCAAACACAATCATAAATACCCAGGGTGGACGAAAGTTTAATCTTGCATTGTACTACTACAGGCAAGTATACAATGTGTGTTAATTTGTATTTCAATGTGCGCATTGTTAGTGTTAATCATTGATTAAAAATTCATGGGAAATTTTTATTATAAATATATTCTGAAAGGAATGTATAAGTAAAAAGTTTTATACCTTTCTGTGTAGGGATTTGAAGTTCTTTTCAGTGAAGAGGAATTGGTTCAGCTGCTCTGAGAAATTGGGCACTGTATACTGTCACAATTGTTGGTTGTTAGCAAAGGATACATCAAGGAACAAAGATACTCCATGGATAGATGGGTTTTTTTCCAACACTAATCACCTGAAGCAGCAAATTGAAACACATGAAGAAAGCATGACGCATAAAGAAGCTACGAAGCATTATGCCCACATAAAAGCAGGCAAGGGAGTCAGCAGGCTTAAAATTAATGAAGCTGGAATTGCAAAAGCCAAGAATTTCTGGCGTGAGGTTTTACACAGAATGATAGTAATCATATTGACTTTAGCCAGTCTGTCTCTGCCTTTACGGGGACACAGGGAATTTGTCGGAAACGGAAAATGCGAAGGAGGCAATTTTCTTGGTTTGGTTAACATGCAGTTGAAAGTAGGTGATGGTGATCCATACTTTAGAGAGCTTGTTGAGTCTAAATCTCACAAATGTAGCTATTTATCTCCGAGTATCCAAAACGAAATAATTGAAATTCTTGGTAATGCCACTCGACTCAAACTCGTTGGTAAAATAAAAACTGCTCCCTGTTATACTCTTATTTTTGACACTACAAGCGATATCTGCCG